TAACCCTGGGCTGGCGAGGTTGTCAATAGACCTGTTAAATGGGTGGGTCGAGTCGAGTTTGGATCAGGTCATAAATGGTCTGACCCAAATTGACTCATTAACTCATTTATGACCAATTTATTTGTAATGTAAATATCTGACCCATACCCAACCCATATCCGACCAGACCCATATTGCTAAAATACTTCAATATTTAACTCAATCTAGGAAAACTTGTTTCTTATGACATTTTTTTAAAATTATACTACTAAAACATTTTCATACAATACAAAGCTAGTGAACAATTTTTATAATTTTTTTTAAAATTGAGGTTTTGTTTGTTTCGTGAAAAATGCAATATTTCTAGAAAATATTTTCCATGAAGTCATTATCCAAAAAAATAAAAAAAATTCGATATTTGGCTGAAACCTGAAATTGAACTAGAAAATATTTTTCGACGCTTGGTATATTATCAAATTGGTGAATCTACTACAACAGATGCTAAAAAAAGATGTTCCTCCATGTGGACCTTAACAGACTAAATCAGTCAGATGCCTAAAAGAAGTTTTGCGACATCTTCCACCCTTACAAATCCCTTTTACTGGAAAGAGAGTTCTACAAACGTATACTAGTGATGATTATTGGGTTGTCGTTCTTTTTGAAGAAATTAATGGAAAGCATAAAATCTATGGACACAAAAGTGGAAGATTTACACAAAGCGAGATGCATTATCATTCCACTTTCAAGGAAATCTTGGCAGTGAGGTATGGCATCAAGAAGTTTGAATTTCATCTTCTTGGCCATCATTTTTTTTTGTATAACTGGATGTGTCATCTTTCTCCAAAATACTAAAGTTCAAACAAAAGCAAATTCCTCATCCTCAACTCCTTAGATGGGCGTAATGGTTTTCAAAGTATTCCTTTGAAACCAGGCATATAACAAGAAAGAAGAATGTGCTTGCCGATTTCTTATCCTGGCCAAAAGAATTTATTGCACCAATTACATCCATAAACATGTATTTGTCGCGAAATCCATTCGGTGGATTTAAACCCATCAAGATGAAACCTCCTTGGCCTAGTAGGCAATAACCGCCGGAAGTTCCTGAATACATCCAAGACAACACCTTTTTTGAAAATCTGCCATCACTAATGTGGAAATATTAACTGCTGATTTTCAGCAGATACGGAGGATTATGTCTCAGACCCAGTGAATTGTATCCAGAATATCCTTTCATCCATCCTATCTCCATCAATCTTGAAGACGAGTTCCCAAAAGAATTCAAGTGGTTTTATTGGTATTTGTTCAATCTTTATACCATAGCCATTGAATTTCCAACAATCAAGATCATTTCCATTATTGGCAATATTCTCCAAGGAGAGAAAAAGTTAGAAGCATTTGGGTGATATGCTTAATTGGTTCAAACTACTGGGAGCGTGGAAATGTACGTTCAAGGAACAACTTGGAGCTTGTCAATCCAATCCGGAATTGCATACAATAGTCCTGTTTCACAGACCATGATTGTTTATTCGTCCAAATGCAGATGTGAGCAAAATTCCAGCTGATGTAGGAGCAACCACATACAAGCCTTAGCTAATTCCAGAAAAGTTCTTCAAAACTGTCCCATGCAAAATCTCAGCACTTCCTCAGGAGTATAGAGAATTTCAGAGACTTCTATACTAATACAACCAAGCGATATCACTAGAGGTATGGTCAACAGGTTCTAGCAATGCATCTTGGGATCATCCCGCTGATCACAAGTATGAGACATTGATTGATGTAGCGTTTGGACAATATATGGCATAAATATGCAAGCTGATATGGATGCCGTTGCCTCGTCTTCATCCCAAGAGGCCTCATTCTCATCCCAAGCCCTTTAATCACAGGATCCATGGGAAGGACCATTATCGTAAGACCCATATGATTACAGCGAGCTACAACTTGCACTTAGTCTTAGTCTTTGACAAAAACAGTTTGTCATTGCAATTAGAGAACTTTCGCCAGCCAGGTATTCTATTATGTTCCACTGATGTTGCCTCAAGTTCTACAAACGTTCCAGCTACTTCCTATGAATCTCCACAAAAAAAAAAGTCCTTAGAACTTTCGGAAGAGGTGGCTCTAGAGATCACAGAAGTTGAAAGACTCCTTAGAGAATACAAACGACAAAAAATGATGGAGACAATTCAGACAGTTCCAATGATGACAATGAAGAGCCTATTCACAAGTATGACCTCTGAAGGCGTAGAAAGTGTGTTGGAAAAAAAAGGTCCGTTGTCGAAAATCACTGTAGCAAATGTACTATAGAAGCCACTATTCATCACTGTAACAATTACTGTTCATCACTGTAGCAGTACTATAGCAAGTTAAAAAAACCGTCAGTCAGTGTCTTAATGAGCTTATCAGTAGTCTATCAGAGCCTTGTTCATCAATAATCTAAGTCAGTAGTCGTCTAAGTCAGTGTATGTTGAGTCCGTGGATAATTATTGGCGATATCTAGAACTACACCAACAATTAATCGTTTGTGCAGTCGTGCGTGCCTATATAAGGCAACGCTTGTAATATTTGAAGGCAAGATCTGCTCCCCAGAAAAGCCTTGAGAAATAAAATTTATGTGTATTATGAGTCCCTAAATCTTCACTTCTACCTTTCTACTTGGTATGATTCTTTAAATAAACGTATGTATACTAATTAATCCTGGTAGTATGTTTTGCACTTGCCATGATTTGGAACTTGTGCATCAGAATTCAGCTGCTATAAGATACTAATCAAAATTTTAAGGGGGCTTAGTGGCCAAAAGGCAGTCTCTTTTATAAAGGCTGAGCGCCGTTTGTGTGTTTGATAGCATACTCACTACAAGTCTTGTCTTCGTTTTCCCTGATTATCATCTTAGCGCCCATTTACTATTGATTTTATTTCATGCATTCATTTTAATAATTTTATTTTTTAAAATCAAAATTTTTATTATTTATTATTTATCTTTTTTCTTTTTCCTTTATTTTTGGCCGGTGGTAGGCTACGACGACCGGCCACAGGTGAGGACAAGCTCGCCCGAGGCCGGCAAGCTCGAGTCTCGCTAGATCGACGAGGCTGGAGCCTCGCCATAGGTTGGCGAGGCCTCGGGCTCGCAGAAATGGGGCGAGCTCGACCTTGCCTGATCTGAAGAGGTGGAGCCTTGCCCGAGGCTGGCGAGCTCAAGCTTCGCCGGCCTCTAGCAAGGTTGTCCTCCCCTATGGCTGATAGCTAGCCATCACCGTGGCCTGCCACAGGCCGAAAATAAAGAAAAAAGAAAAAAGAAAAAAAATAAAAAAATAAAAAAAATAAAAAGAGAAAAAAAATAATTTTAATTTTTTTAAAAAAATATTTTTATAAAAAGAGAGAAAGTGTGTGGGGGTCTAAGTAATAGGTGCGTTGGAAATTGGTTCTACACTCAACTCATTTAGACCAATTTATGATATGCTTAAAACTTTAAGACCCATTTAAGATGGGCTCTTCAAAGTTGTAGTAATCCATATATGACCTATTTATTTTATAAATGGGTCATATATAAGGGTTTAAGACCCATTTTGACAGGTCTAGTTGTCGGTCGACCTCCGCTTGGTCTGGGTGAGGGCGTCGCGGCTCTCGCCAGCCCTAGGGGAGGCGACCCTCGCCTGATCTGATGCAGGAACAACCCAAAGACGCAATTCTGCAGGTCATCATCCCTCACTACTTCACTAGTACCTTACTATCGAAAAGTAAAGGTCCCGTGCATGTTATGAGTAGCATGCCAACACCATTATGCTTTCCTCCGTGAAGTGTCCATAGGGCAGTGAAAACTATTTGATTTGCACATAGTTCATGGCTAATCTATTACCACCAGCAAAGATGTTGAGGATATTGGTCAAATTAATTCCACAAAGCAAACTCCCTATTCTGCGCTTTTGGTAAAAGATACCACCAGCTAAGCAAAATATTACATTCACAATATAACAACCTAAAGAAAGATCACGAGAATCATATAAGTAGCTGCCCCATGTGTTGTAGCGACCATGTGAACTAGGATCATCCTAATGCATAATGAAGGATTTCTTACCGACAAAATAGTTAGTTCACATGATATGGATCCCACACATAACAAGATAGGAAACGGAGAGGGCAGTTAAACGAATTGGAGAGGCGACGGCGGAGGCATAGTTGGAACTGTTGTGGAAGCAAGAGATCGAACAATTAAATTAACATAATAAGAAAATAAATTAAACACCAGATTTACGCGGTTCGGTCGTAGTGACCTACGTCCACAGGGAGAGCAGCATGAATTCCATTATAGATCAAGCGATACAACGGAGATTACAATCACGCTCGAGTCATTTAAATACGCTAAGTGTTTCCCAAGCTCCAATTACACCTAATAACTCACGCAGTGTTTATCCTACAATTTCTCACAAAATAATTTCTCAATCTCACGAAAGAATTACACACAAAATCTTACTACTAGATTTAATTGACTTCAAATACTCGGATATCTTAATAATATAATTTACTAGTAGAAGCTCCTCTTTAATGTTTTTTTACAAATAACATCCCCTTTTTATATAGCCAAGAATTATATCTAAAATAGAAAACATCTTTTTAGGAAATCTTCTCTAACTATGAAACTTACTTGAATTAAGAATTTTTTTTTTGGCTCAAAATCGAGGCATAATTTTAACCGGAACGAACAGAGACACCTTCGGATGGAGAAGAACTTTCGCTCTTTGAACGATGAAGAAGAAAAGAGAAAGTGAAGAGAGGAAGGGAGAGAGTGTGTGTCGTTAACGGAGACGAAAGCGAGGGGAGAGAGAGAGTAACAGAGGCAGAACAGAGGGAATTTTGTAAGATTTGACAAGTGGAGCCCATCGACACAGGCCATTGGCTCTCAGGGATCACACATTTCACAAACTTTTTTATCCATCCACAGAAGAAACGTTGTGAGCCACGAGTTCACTCCAAATTGATGCAAAGGGCCAAGTGGTACCGATTACTTAGCCAAACTCCAAAAGAACCAAAGAAACAAAAACAAAAAGACCAAAAAAACAAAGAAAACGAGGTCATTCCAGGTCTAGCCGAAACGATACAGAGTAAACATGGCCAATATTACTGTTGCTGACACTCAAATCAGTACCGACGGCAAAGCGATCCCGCTTCTTGGATTCGGAACCGCCGAGTACCCATATGGGTCCTCTGCCAACGTGAAGGAACACCTCCTCGATGCGATCCGATTAGGTTACCGACACTTCGACTCGGCCCCACTCTACCTGACCGAGCAGCCCCTCGGGGAAGCTGTGGCTGAAGCTCTCGCGCTCGGCCTTGTAAACTCGCGTGAGGAGCTGTTCATCTCTACAAAGCTCTGGTGCAGCGACGCGCATGGCGACCGCGTCGTCCCCGCGCTCCAGACATCCCTCAAGTACAATTTCAGTCAACCTATGAATCATATAGCACCGTGTCTGTACGTTTCATCATCCTCGTTTTCATTGCATCGGTCGGTTCTTGTGTGTAGGAATCTCGGGCTCGAGTACGTGGACTTGTATCTGGTGCATTGGCCGGCGTGCGTGAAGGCAGGTGAGTATGAGCTTCCGGTGAAGAAGGAGGATCTGCTTCCGTTTGATTATGAGAGTGTGTGGAAGGCCATGGAAGAGTGTCAGAAGCTGGGCTTGGCCAAAAGCATTGGAGTGAGCAATTTCTCATGCAAAAAGCTTGAGAAGTTGCTCAGCATCTCCGAGATTCCTCCTGCTGTCAACCAAGTGAGTTTATTGTTGGTCCCTTGGGAATTCTTGTTTTCTTAAAATTGCTCTGGAAAAAAAACAAAACATGTTTGTCATAACAAAGAAAAGCTACCCTAAACATGAAAAACATGTTTATTGCAAGTTTAGGATTGCTCTTTTTATATATGTCAATTTAGTCTTCGTGTAGTTCCGAAAATCTTCATCTAGGTGATTCACTTTTGACAAAACAAGAACCTCTGTCCTCTCTCTCTCTCTCTCTCTCTCTCTCTCTCTCTCCCTTCCCCCATATTCTCACGAGCTACAGTGCCCATGAACGCCGCCGCTGCACTGTCAACCGAACCATGCTCAAGCTGCCACTCTCACTGAGCCTGCAGCTGCTGTGGTCGAGCCAGCGAGCCCCCATGTCGTCCCTCCCCCTGTAAAACTCACGGGGAGGTCGTGACCTCTTCTTTGGAGACTGCTCGAGGTCGAGGACCGCCACAACGAGGTCATCGTGGTGGCTTTTTAAGCCTTCCACAACCTGACCCGACTTGAGTGATAGAGCCAGAGAGAGGGTTAGGTTTTGAGAATTTTCTTTTTCTTTCTCCTTTTCGTGTTTTGTTCATGTTAGATTTGCATGTGTGTTACATAACTCGTATAACCCATCAATCTAAAAGATCAGAGGAAATTTACTCCCACCAAAACACAACCCTCTGAAATTTTGATACTTAAGTATTAGGCACATTTAAACCAATGTGGATGGCATAGACAACGAAATCTAATCTCCTAGCACCCCTCAAAAGAATCCAACTCTTGAAGGATAAACGCATCATTGTATTATCGTTGAAGTCAAAAATGGCAACATGAGTTCTGCTCAAACGCATCATTAGATGACTGTGGATTCCTCAGACTTTACAAGTGGGGTGTGATTTTTTATTTATGATTTAAATGGGTTCGATTTGATTGTGAAGGTGGAGATGAACCCTCTGTGGCAGCAACAGAAGCTAAGGGAATTCTGCAAGGACAAGGGAATACACATCACCGCCTACTCTCCGTTAGGCGCCAGAGGAACCTTTTGGGGGACTGATAGAGTAATGGAATGCGAGGTGCTGCAAGAGATTGCCAAAGCCAAAGGGAAGACACTTGCCCAGGTTGTCATCAATCTCTATCCACCTTATCCTTCTCGAATTCGATGATGCTATGCATACAAACATTGATTAAGATGATTAATTAGACACTTGGTCCTCTTAAACCAATATTCTATTCAGCTAGGCTACGGTCAGTGATCGTTATGTAAGATGTGAATCCTAAAGAGTTAATCAATTAGGTTAGGATAAAGAAACTAAATGCTACCCTCGTATGCCTCGTACAATTTTCCTATTCAACATGTTATATTTGGTGGAACCATTGTCAACTGTTCTAAAAACTTAAGCTATTAGATAAAGGTGTAGTTTAATATTTAATTACTCTAACACTCCCCCTCACACTTAATCTAGTATTTTTGCTTAGCACTAAGCGTGGACATTTTTCATTGGGGAGGCAATTGGGACCTGAAAAGATTTGAACTCAGAATTTCAGTTCTAATACCATGTTAGATTTGGTGGGATCACTGCCAACTGTTCTAAAAGGTTAAGCTATTAGATGAACGTGCGGTTTAATATTTAACTACTCTAACGCAACACATAACAATTCGTTAATATTAGATCATCCTATCGCGCAATAAGAGATTCGGATGAGTTGACCATGGTCCAACACTTAAGCAAGAACTAAGTGAAATGCTAGAACATTACTCATCTCTGTCAACATCTCTCTGGTTATTATCTGTGTACATATGTGAGGAAGTTTACTTTTTACTGTTAGCATATGTTTCAGACACGGTTAAGCTCATATTTTGGCTATATTATTGGTCTGCATGAAGGTTTGTCTAAGGTGGGCGTATGAACAAGGAGTCAGTGTGGTAGTGAAAAGCTTCAACATAGAGAGGATGAAAGAGAACCTTGGCATATTCGACTGGAGCTTGAACCCTGACGAATTGAACAAAATTAGTCAAATTCCACAAAAGAAAGGATTCCCTGGAGTCCAATTCATATCCCCAAATGGTCCTTACAAGTCTGTCGAAGAGCTCTGGGACGAGGGCATTTAAGCAGGAATCGTTAATCGCTTCAACTAGTAAAGCTTATTCAATGAATTTTTCTAAGATGGTTGAACCTTAACGCCAAATGAATGGTAGTCCCTTCTGTTTTATAACAATGTACAGTGGACGTCATCTTTGGCCTTTCAAAAGTGCCGTGGGTTTCTTCCTTTTCTGGTACAAACACAGGGATGTCCTTCAGTTGTAGCCGCACAGAAGCCAAAAAGAAAAGGGACGCACAGAGGAGGAGCGCTTTCTTTCATGGCACGAAGGAGTTATGAACACAGTGGATTTTATGATACGAGTTCTTCTGCATCGAATTGAGTTGTTTTATCAATAAACATATGGGTTTGGGTGTGATTCGGGTTTATTAAATACTCGAATGTGTGGGTGAGTATTACTATATAATTCTTGGATTATTTAGTGGATTACTTATTATTGACTCTCTTGGTGAAGTAATTGTTGAAATCAAGACCGAACCACACAAATATCTGATTTTATTATTTTTATTGTTTCTCATTTATTTCTCCGATAATTTCACGATGATTTAACTGCAATATATTGCAGGTTGAGAGTTTTACTTTTAGCCTAAACAGGAAAAAGAAAAGCAATACAAAAGGAAAAAGAGAATAACAGAAGTACCATAATTGTAACAAAACAACTTCTGGAGTTCCTCAGGAAAATTTAATATTCGGAGTCCACTTCTAGGAAAATAAGATGTCTGGCAGAAAAAAATTAACAAAAAACCAAAAGAATTTGAACTTATTGATGTTATTATCTCATTTATTGAAACAATAAAAAGTTACTTCTTTAAGTCTTAAAAGAAGCAGAAATTGGCTTCCGTACTATGGTTGAACTAGAAGGCTACTTTAGCGGTTGTTCATCTACTAGTCGTTATTTCCCAGTGCAATTAAACTTTATTTGTTGATCATTGTTTATGTGGCTGAGTTTAGAGTCTGTTTGGACTGCTGGGGGGACCTTAATTTTGGCTTTACAATTTAATGATTTTCTTTTATTTTTGCTTTTAGCCTTCGAAATTTGACTTTTATTTGATGATACTAAATACCCGAATCTTTCAACAAACACTATGGACATGTAAGGTTCTTTAACCACATGGAATCTTTTCATGATTTTTCAGAAGTAAAGCAATTCTTTTTCGTTTTGGAAGGAAAGTCAACAAGTACTATGCTTAAAAAGAAGAAGAAACAAATGGCTCTTAGAAATTCCAGAACAAGCTCACTCTGGTAGTACGAGATGGCATTTTAAATAGGGAAAAAACCACCAAAAATCCCAAACTTTGCCATCTGTGACACATTTACCCCAAACTTTTTTTGTGACACCAAAAACCCCAAACTTTGCTATTTGTGACACATTTACCCAAATATACTGTAGCCTAGGATATTTTAGTCTTTTTCCCTTTTTCTATTTTTTTTTCTGTTTTGTTTTCTTTTTTCCGGCAAGGCTGCCCTCGCCGGCGCAGGCGAGGGCTGCCCTCGCCGGCGTTGGGCGAGGGCTGCCCTCACCCAACGCCGGCGAGGTCGCCGGAGACCTCGCCGGCGAGGGCAGTCTTGCTGGAAAAAAGAAAAAAAAAAAGAAAAAAATAGAAAAAGGGAAAAAGACTAAAATACCCTAGGCTACAGTATATTGGGGTAAATGTGTCACAAATAGCAAAGTTTGGGGTTTTTGGTGTCACAAAAAAAGTTTGGGGTAAATGTGTCAAAGAGGGCAAAGTTTGGGGTTTTTGGTGATTTTTTTCCTTTTAAATACTGTCTCTCACTCTCTCTCAGATGAAAAAAAAAAGTAGTCGTTTTTCGCACATAAAAGCACAGGCATCCATGCCTATAAAACTAGTACTGCTAATCTGAACATCATCCAGATCTATATTGGATAACAAAAGAAGAATTTTTTTGAATGGAATAACACTTAAAGATCCTGTATCTGTGGGACTACTGAGTACCCCAAATACATACCAAGAATAGTATATATCTTTAAGAGGCACTCAACATACTCAAAAGGAAACACAAATTATATTTGTGGAGATTAAAAGTGCCGTTAGCATTGATATAAATCGAGAACAGTATCTCCTCTAAATACCAAGACTAGTGTAGATCTTTAAAAACTCCAGATACTGAAGAACGGAAATGCAAAAAAAAAAAGAGAAAAAGAACTCACCAAAAGTTATGCAAGCTCTGTCGACAATTACCTTTGAAAGTAGTCCTAGCAACTGCAGCAATAACCCTGCTTATCATTTACATAATCAGGAATTTGTCTTCCGAAGGACAAACGGTAGTACATCAAAAAGAAATTAACTATACTTACATTCCTAAAGTGACCACCGTTAAGATGTCAGAACTGTCAGCAACTTCCTGAGCCTATTAAATACAAAAAAACATCCATGTTTAAGGTCGAGTAATTGTCGAACTTGTACATGTGCTTTATGATTGGAGAAAACTGAATTCCCATGCACGTTTTAACAATTATAAGTTTATAAATAACCTAAAACCATTTCACATAGTTAAGAGCAGCTAATTATATATTTTTTATTTTGAATAGCTTTTACCAACAGAGTTGCCTTCATAGGTGAAATTTATACTAACAGCCTTAAAAAGAATGGACACCAATGAGCTTCACATTACTGGTCAATGATGCTTTTCAACCACACCACTGTTACACTTAGTGTTGCCTTGGATTAAGAAAATGATGACAATAAGGGGACTAACAACCGATGTAGCATGAAAGTGCAAGAATAATATCGGTCTCAGAACTAGGCCATTTCTAAAGATATGAAGATAAAGAGCTAGAAAAGAATAAGGTGAGAAAGAACTTAATCTTACCGATATAAGTTATGGTTTCCACTTATGAAGAGTCATGCTCCTTTACTTACCTTTCAGCATGGAATGGATGAAAGGTAAAAAGTTATCAATTCAATGTAGAAAAGAGACTAGAAAGAGTAAAGCAAAAGCCAGTAAAACAAAATTCGAGCTCTTGCACCTCATTTGCAGTCACTGCCTTTAAATTAATGGAAAGCTATGGGTTCCATCTATTCCAAACCCTACCGTTCCCCTTCTTTTTTTTTTTAATAAAAAAAAAGAGCTGGAAGGAGTACCAGCAACAGGGCCTGTTTAAGACATGTTTGAAGGGCAACTGTTTTTATTCCTTTATCAGTGAAAGCAGAACATTGATTGGATGGCATAGCAAAAGCAGGTTTGATAGGCTCTCTTTTTCACAATTTTCTAAAAACAATTTGGAGTACTAGAAAACAACCAACATTTTCTGTCCTTCGCAATCTAAATGAGAAGAAAAGTGGAATATATAAGGAACTTATCAACTTAGTAAGATGACCAACAAAGCATGAAAATCAAACAGTAGCAATAAACTGAAGTGCTTACTAAAGTTCGGTGAGATATGAATTGAAAAAATTTTCAGAACTAAATGCACCCTTAAATTTAACATGGGTGGTTGGTCAATGTTTTCAGCCAAACTACAGCATAAAGTGTAAGGTAACAACATAGAAGAGATAAATTTTAGTAAGGCAACAAGAACTAATTTCACAATCTAAGTAGCAGAATGGTTGTGGCATCTTTGTTGAAATAAGCTTACCGTAAAGTAAGAAAGGTAGCTCACAGAAAGCGTCAAAGCCAGATTTATCTCAGGATCATTGTGCATAAACCCCAGCAAATATACTGACACAATGCCAAAAGCTATACCCAAGCCAAGACTGAATTAAAAACGATTGTCATGAGTAAATTATGCTTTAACGATAAGTTACTATCTAGTGATAAGTAACACACATACGCTCCAACTGTTGCTTCTGTCAAGAACTTGAAAATATCCGCCCATTGGAAGTGCCAGCCAAGCACCATTTTGTAGAACAACTGATATACCACAACTGATGCCCTGAATAAGTAGTCCACGGAATGTACAGTATATTAGAGCAGGCGTTTCTGATATATAAAAATAAGAATATTTGGTTCGCCGAAATCGCAAGGATTTATAATAATGCCACAGCTATTGACATTCTTACTCCAAACTAAGGTTGCTTTATAACATGTGGAGGTTGGTCAGTCTTGGCTATCATATTCCTTACATGATCATTTGATGTTTCTCACATAAGGTCATGTCAGTTTGAGAATGCATCCTTTTCATTCCATGGAGCTTCCAGAAAGCTCTTTACCATGTGACAGTCAAATCAGAAAATAGGATTTCTTGGTGAGAGAAAGTCGACTGGAATCATACTGAAACTTCACAAGACCCATATCGATTACATCACTGCAACTCCCTCCAGAAAATACTATTGAGTGACCACCTGTCCTCAAGCTCATATTTTCAAGGAGAAGATCGTCAAAATTAATCTGGAAATGAACTTACTAAGTATAAAGTATGACCTTGGACAAAATTTAGTGGCCAAAACTACGAGGTCAACCCTCCTTGCATTTGCACACTAAAGGATTACTTATAAAAGAGGATAATTATTACTAGGTTAAAAGTTCAATGCCAACATAAAAACAAAGAAATCTGAAGATGAAAGGCAAGGCTCACCCATCATTCACCATTGATTCTCCCTCAATGATCGTACTCAATTTTTTGCTTGTTCCAAGCTCTTTCAATGAGGCAACAACAGCCCCAGGATCAGTTGCACTCAAAATTGCCCACAGCAGTAAAGATGTTTGCCAACTCCATTCATATGGAAAAGTAAGCTGCCGAAAGTAAAATTGAGTATAGTCATAGAATCAAGAGCTTAACAAAGATTATCAAGTTTCAACTATACCTTCAGAGCACATCCAATACAAAATGTCGAAATAATGAAACCAGGGCCTGCAAGGAGTAGCATCTGTACCATACATTTCTGCATAGATGGTTTAGCATTAGGAGTAGAAGTGCATTTCACTTAAAAATCGATTAACAACTTCCAGTTCTACATGGCTTTTCCTTCTCTCTTTTCTAATGAAAGAAAGAACAATGACACTGGAAAGAAGAGTTTGTGTCCACCAGGCTTTCTTTAGATCAATAGAGATGCTTCAAAAGGTCTACATTTAGAATGCAGAGCATCAGCAAATCATTTGTCTGCAAAAGACTTTTTCAGAGTAATCTGTGTATAGCTAGCGATTCGGCAGCAATTAAAGTTTTGTAAGAATGAGCTGCAAGTAATTCCAGGACAACTAATCACATGTCACTTTGTTGCACATAATTCAAGGCTTATAACTATATGGTAATTGTAAAAAATTGTGCATCAATTCTCATTCTTTACGTTGAAGGTAAAACCTATGTTCTCTGCAAATTTACATGAAATACTTCTAATTTCAGACCTCTTGAGCGTAAAAAAAATGAAAAAAAAAACATCCACAGGACAAATTTGAATATGATAGGGTTGCCCTTCCCTAGTCCTATTAAAGTTGGACCATCTTGTATGGATTCCAAATGAGTCTGTGTCTCCCTCTCCAACATCAGGAAATACTCCTCCCTATTCTTTTTTTTTTCCCATTAGCTTTAAACAATGTACAAAATAACATCAGGGTCCAGTTAAAGCAAGTAAAACACACAAGCAAAGAAAGAAGCCCCATCTGGAAAAACCAGTGTCAGGGCAACCCTTTTCAGAAACACCAAAAGGCCAATCTCAACAAACCCATATCTGTCGACCCAAGTTAAAAAAGGAAATGCAGATACTGAGAGAAAAAAGAACCTTAATTTGATGGCTGTCCATAGAAAACGAGCTCTCGAAAAGAAGAGGAGGAAGAAAGACTGCCAACAAGAGATCAGGATCAATATCTGCCCCTGCAAAATTTTGCAAATGAACAGTTAATTTGAGACCTCATCAAGAAACCATCTAATACACATATGTACCAAAAAAAAAGCTGTGTCCTTTTTGGATTTGATGATGCTTGATGACGAGGGAAAACTCACAAAGGCGGATTGCATTCCCCAGTGCCCCTAACGGCAGACTTGCACCAAGCTCTGCATATCATCAGATGAAAACGAAATTATACAAAAGTGGGGGAAAGCAACAGCGGAGCAGCCGACATGCAAAGGGAAAACATTCGACAGCTTACGACGAGTCAAGAAATAATCAGAAAGCCTTCTGCGACCGGCGTTCTGGGAGGCGTTCTGCGAAGCCAAAGCCAATTCCCAAGCCCAGAGAGGACGTGGCTAGAGGGATGGGGGAGTGAAAGAGACCCAGAGAGCCAATGGCGAGGCCAAGGAGGAGCAAGGCGACGGTGTAAGGGACGCGAGTGCCTCGGAGGAGGTGCCTGCAGGCGACGCCGGCGACGCAGCTCAGGCCGGCGAACAGCACGCCGTCTGTCGGCGTCGGTTTCGCCATCGTCCGTCCCGAAGCAAGAGGGGCGCTTCACGCTCGCATGCCGCCGCAGGATTCGACCGTCGACGTATATGCGGGAATGGATATGTGATGGAAATCTGCTCGCCGGTCGCTGTAACGGGGAGAAATTTTCTGCTCTCTTGTGAAGGAGAGTGTTGACGTCGCGGGAACGAGCCGAAACGGGTCGACCCGGTATCAGGAACCGGGAAAAATTCGAAATGCTTTTTAAAATATTGACGAAATGCTTCAGCATTCATCCTGGGCGATACGTTAAAACTGTGCTCATCTGGGGCCCTCGTCCGGACCTCGAGATCCCTTGGATGTAAGCAATAATAAGGTATTCTCTCTTTCCAGAAAATATAGAGTTATAGGGTGGAAGCGGGGACGCGAGCCGTGTGAGCCTTAACACGTTAAAATAAGATGTGCATTCGTTGAGCCTGCCAATGCTCGTTAAAGTGGACAGGCCGCGGAGGTCCGTTCTCTCTCTAAGTATAGCATGGTCCTAGGGTAATGGGTTTGGCAACTATCAATGTCAACTCCATTTTCTTGTAGTTTAGTGCTCCGTAGGAAGTCCTACTCCTACAGCAAGAAAAAATAGTGTGATGTGTAGATTATGTAAACCAAGTCCATGTCAATCATTGATGGTATAGATGTCACAATAGGATCTATATAATAAACGGTTGAAATAATATTGTTTCACATGATTTATAGACCATACAATAACTTATCTTATGGGACTTGTATTCTTTGTTAGGTTGAAGCAAGATGTAATTTAAATTAATCTTGGATTAATTAATATGAACATTAAAAGTGAGCATTGGTCCCAATTCACTCGGAAACCGAATTGAACCGGCCTAAGTTGACCGGTTCAATTTGGGACTTGCAAGACCGATTTGGTTTCGATTTTGTGCATCGATTCACGATTGGAATCGGTTTTGAACGGATTTGCATCATGTTAAATAATGCGTATGTAAGTTGTAGATATTTGATACAAGGCCGCGGAAGGAGAACTAACGGTTTCGTCCAACAGAAAAGAAAAGAAACCATACTAACACACCTCCATTGGCCAACTAGCTTGTTGCGTCTCCGCCGATCATCACTTTTCAATTTGGATGTTCGACGAAATCACTCTCGAATTTCTCTCATGCATTATTGGATAGGTTTCAGGTTCTTGATTGATAACCTACCCATTTTGAAACCAATCACCCATTAATGAAAATGATAAAGCAAGTAATAAGATTGTAAACGTGTTACAACCAAGAGCGTCACCTAGATATAAGGTTGGATAAGATAAGTTATTAATCCAGTTGAGGGGGCACACCTGGTTAGGATAAGTCCAAATAAGTTCGGATCAACACCTAATAACTTATCTAGGCACGGGGGATGGGAATTTAAAAAATTAAAAAGAAAAGAAAAGGGCAGAAAAACCCTAGGATGGTGACGACAACACTGGCGCAACCTTTGGTGCCGCTAGCGAATGCCGTGTACGATGGTCGCCCACAGTTCAGGCAACCTCGTTACGGTGGTCCCAAACCTTCGGCAACATCCATCGCGGGGGTCTCTAGAGATTTCTCTCTAGTCATGCTCATACTACATTGTCATAGTGACCACTGCGACGACAGATGTGACCATTGTTGCGGTGCTAGTCCTTAACAAGCAACACACAACGACACGGTGGTCGCTTGTAATCAGCGACCACCATGACGGCACCTATGGAGGTCAAGCCCATTCCGAGATTTGGATCTCAACTTGGATTGCTCAATTTCCAATCGTGGTGATCTGAAGCAACCACCGCAACAGAAATTCCCACCATGGTGGCAGTCGCCAAGCTAGCCATTGCGACGGTGGGGGCTCTTGGTGGTCGGCGCTCTCATATTCCCAAAGTCCCCAACCCTTTTTTTTAATTATAATTTTTTGACTTTTTGAAGCAATATTTTTTGAATTATTACTTTCATTTTTATAACCGTATCCATCATAATATCTGGTGTTGTACTAAACAAAAGATAAGATATCATAATCTCCTCACATTTCTATTTATATCCTATGTGTTATTGTTCTAATCCTTGTCCTAACCACTGAGATTTGTCTTAGTGGCCATCCTTCTTACTTGATAATGGAGAGGTGAGGATGTAGACGTTTAGTTTACAGGGCAAAAGATCCCTGTTGTGAGGATGGTATGATTGTGATAATTGATTCATGCTTTTCTTCTCGTTTTTTTTTTCATCGACTGCTCTTTATGTTAAAGGAAAAGGTATGGTTTCAAAAATTAAATTTCTTAATAAAAGCTAGTGTCTTGTCAATATCGCCCGACCTTTGATCTCTCTTCACCTATTGAATTGTTGATTAATTGCCCTTAAATGTCTCTCTGCCTCAGCTTTTTCTTCTTTAGGATGGATGAAAGGTCTCATGTACTGTCCATGCTTCATTGAAATTTTTGCAAGCTAATTGTAAGAGATATTTTTAAGAGATTCATCACATCTCTTCATGTCTTTTAGTGATAATGTGTTTCTCCATCGGTTGTAATTGATACCGTGAATCAAAATGTAATAATCTTAATATTATATTACCTTAAACAGTCACCTTGTGCCGTTTATAAATGACTTGTGTGCTCTTCTCTACTACGTACATTAAAGTTACTTAATTTTCTTCCTCATGCTCTATGTTGGTATTAGAGCCCAAATCTTTGGAGGAAACTACTCAAGTACTCTTCAAAAGGGAGAAAATTCCAAATAAGAGCATGAAGTGTCATCATTTTCTTAAATAAAGATTTGAAATGGATCTTCTTTCAAATAAGGGCTTGAAGTGGCTATGTTAGTTCAAAGAAAGGCCTAATTTTCTGGATGGTCAAAGGCATTTTCGTTCTTTACCTTTTTTTTTTGAATTTTTTTCCTTTTTTTCTTTTTCTTTCTTTTTTCCTTTTACTGTTTTTTCTTTCTTCTTCCCTGGTGGTTGGTTGTCGGCCACTAGGGATGCCCGAAAAGGGCTGGGCGAGGTGAACCTTGTCCAGATCTAACGAGGGCCGACCTCACTTATTGCCGACGAGGGTAACCTTGCCCAGCCCGTTTCGGGCATCGCCAATGGCCAGCGACTGGCCACCGGCGAAGAAGAAAGAACAAACCAGGAAAAAAGAAAGAAAAAAGGAAAAAAGAAAAGAAAGGAAAAAATAAAGAAAAAAAGAAAAAAAAGTAAATTAAAATTAAATTAAAATTGTCTTTGGACAAAAATGCTCTTGATCAGCTGGAAAATTTAGCCAGGGCTCTTATTTGAAACCGTCATTACCACTTTAAGTCCTTATTTGAAACTGACATGGCCACTTTAGGTCCTTATTTGAGAAAATGAGGACACTTTAGGCTCTTATTTGAAATTTTTCCTTCCAAAAGGTGGACTTACCTAGGCAACATCTTGGTCACGTCAACCCAAAAACTCCAATGTGGTTTTTAAGGATTTGGGTGTGTGTCATTTAAGGCTTTTGAATCTGATTTGGGACATTTTGCCAAAAGAGGGAGAGGTATTGTTTCTTTAGAAAGAAATGGCCCAGCCATTTGCCACATAGCCGAATTGTCAGCTTGAAAAAGTCCATGTTGGAGCTACAAGTTACGCTTTCCATGTAGACCTCAACAGACTAAATCAGTCAGATGCCTTAAAGAAGTTTTGCAACATCTTCCCCTCCTACAAATCCTTTCTACTGGAAAGAGAGTTCTACAGACAGATGCTAGTGATGGATATTGGGTTATTGTTCTTTTCGAAGAAATTAATGGAAAGCGTAAAATCTACGGACACAAAAGTAGAAGATTTACGTAAAGTAAGATGCATTATCATTCCACTTTCAAGGAAATCTTGGCGGTGAGGTATGGCATCAAGAAGTTTGAATTTCATCTTCTTGGACTTCATTTTTTTTTGTAGAACTGGATATGTCATCTTTCTCCCGAATACTGAAGTTCAAACAAAAGTGAATTCCTCATCCTCAACTTCTTAGATGGGCGGAATGGTTTTCAAAATATTCCTTTGAAACCAGGTATATAACAGGAAAGAAGAATGTGCTTGCTGATTTATTATCCCGGCCAAAAGAATTTATTGCACCAATTACATCCATAAATATGTATGTGTCACGAAATCCATTTGGTGGATTTAAACCCATGAAGATGAAACCTCTTTGGCCTAGCAGACAATACCTGCCGGAAGTTCCTGCATACATCCAAGACAACACCTTTTTGAAAATCTGCCATCACTAATGTGGAAATATAAACTATTGATTTTCAGCAGATACGGAGGATTAAGTCTCAGACCTAGTGGATTATGTCTAGAATATCCTTTCATCCATCCTATCTTCATCAATCTTGAAGACAAGTTCCCAGAAGAATTCAAGTGAATTTATTGGTATTTGTTCAATCTTTATACCTTAGCTATTGAATTTCCAACAACCAAGATCATTTCCATTATTGGCAATATTCTCCAAGGAGAGAAAAAGTTGAAGCATTTGGGTGATATGCTTAATTGGTTTGAACCACTGGGAGCGTGGAAATTTACGTTCAAGGAACAACTTAGAGCCTGTCGATCCAATCCGAAATCGCATACAATAGTCCTGTTTCATAGACCATAGTTGTTTATTCGTCCAAATAGAGATGTAAGCAAAACTCTAGCTGATGTAAGAGCAATCACATACAAGCCTTAGCCAATTCTAGAAAAGTTCTTCGAAACTCTCCCATGCAAAATCTCAGCACTTCCTCAGGAGTATAGAGAGTTCCAGAGACTTCTATGCTAATACAACCAAGCGATACCACCAGAGGTATAGCCAACGAGTTCTAGCAACTATTCTTGGGATCATCCCGGTGATCACAAGTATGGGACATTGATTGACGTAGCGTTTGGACAATATATGGCATAGATATGCAAGCTGATATGGATGCTGTTGCCTCGTCCTTATCCCAAGCCCTTTAATCACAGGATCCATGGGAAGGACCATTATCGCAAGACCCATGTGATTACAGCGAGCTACAACTTGTACTTGGTCTAGGTCTTGACAAAAACAGTCTGTCACAGTAATTAGGGAACTTTCTCTAGCCAGGTATTCTATCATGTTCCGCTGATGTTGCCTCAAGTTCTGCAAATGTTCCAGCTACTTCCTATGAATCTCCACAAAAAAAAAAAAACAAAAGTCCTTAGAACTTTGGGAAGAGGTGGCTCTAGAGATCACATAAGTTGAAAAACTCCTTAGAGAATATAGGCGACAAAAGGATGGAGATAGTTCAGACAATTTCAATGATGACAATGAAGAGCCCATTCACAAGTATGACCTCTGAAGGCGTA